AAAAAAAAAAAAAGAAAAAAAAAAAATCTCAATGATTCTAAAATAACACTGCCTTACACGTAATTTCCAGCTATTTTTAACCTGTTTTCCTAGTCGTCTGAGCAGTCAGGTCAGAGTTTTGCTGAGCTTTGGAAAACTGGGCAGCTTAGGATGGAAAATAATGCAATGGCCCATCGTTACATGACAGTAAAATGATTAAGCAAACATGCATCAGGGTCTGTGCTACTGCAGCTCTTAATGATGCTCTGAAGCAGCACTGAGGTTGATCATAAATACTCAATGGCAACGGCTTCATGTTGTATAGTCGCTGTTTGATGGCACAGGGTCAGAGAAGTGCTGGTGGAGAATTATTCAATTACTGAACTCGCACAACGTCTCCATTAATCACACAGACAGATTCAGAGCGTGCATGTGGGAATTGAGCCAAACTGACCTACCCAAACCCAAAATGTTACGTCAGTATAGCATGTATTCACTTCTCAGCAATTAGAAGACAATAATTAATAAAATGTGCTATGCAAATGATTTACATTTGAATGCATAATGCATAGGATATTTAAGTCACTATATAAGACTATATATAATGGATGTCAAGGTTAAATATAAAATCAAGGCAAAATCTTTAATAAAAATGTAAATAAAATGAAATAAAAGTAAACAAATTCAATTAAATAATTAAATTTATTATTATTTTGTTAATAAAATAATATTAAGTTTAAATACAATCTGAATAAAAATAAGTAATTAAATAATAAATATCACTAAAACTAAACTAAATTAAATTAAATGTTAAGCGCCCTTTAGGATTGGCTCTAAATTAACAAAACTCCATTGGATTTTTTTGATAAGTACTGTACTAAATAAATATTCAGTAATCTCTAAATGTAACATTGCTCTATAATTACAGTCCAAGTACAGTTAATTTATTTTCAGCCCATTATCATAATCATTATCATAATGTTTAATAAGGTCCTGATAAAGCTGTTTCTTTGTTCTGCTCAGCGTAACTGATGTGGTAGAGATTAATCTAATAGAAACATGATGAGTGAGTATTATAGTATGGATGTGATCTCATTTCCCACCGCATGAGCAGGCGTTTAACAAACCTGCACTGAATAATTTCATATGCTAGCAGAAATCACATCTTCATTCATTTGGATAAAATCTTGATGTAGCTTTTGTGAGCATTACTGTTCATTGTTTGGTGAATAAATGACTTTGAGTCAGTCATCATAATTAATGTATTCCCTGCTTTTGTGATGTGATTATTCAACATCTAACGGATGTAGAGGTGCTGCGTACATTTACTAGCCCTTCACAGAAAATGCAGAAATCGCAAAAAGCTGCAAATCTACCATCTGGATGCTTGTGCTTCTTTTATGTGCTTCTTTATGGTTTTTTTCCCCTGCCGGAAAGAAATTTATTACCTTATACTGTTCGGATAAGCCACCCTCAGGGTCCTTTCATGCTTCTTCAGATCTAAAATTATTAACTTCCAGTCATCATGCAAATGAGGTTTCAGGGAGAGCCGAGCATCTTTATACCACCGCCAGATATGCTGGCAAACCGCGTACACAAGCATTATGCTGAAAATGGGGGTATTTAATTTAAGTGGAAATACACTTTTGAAGGTTTTATTTTTCCTGAAGTCCAAAGTTTCATGCACCAAAAACAGCCTTGATTGGGTTTTTATGACCATTTTCCAGCCTCTCTCCGACCTTTAGAATAAAAAAGGCTGTTATGTTACAGTACCTTTAAGACTATGCAAATGACCTCTTATATGTTGCTGGATATTAAAATAAATGCTGACATGTAAACATGGGCGGACTTATGTTAATGGTATGATGTCATAACCATGGCAATTTCTGAGCCATTTACGAAAATTGTTTTTAATAAATGACTTGACTGAATCTCAAGCTTGTGATGGTTTTGTTACCTGTGTTGGAGCCTGAGAGGTTGTATCTGGAGTTGACTTTCTTAATGATGTTGTCGTGTATTTGACTCCAGTCACTTTCTGTGTTGCAACTGCAAAAAACAAGGACAATCAGAGTGCTGGATTCAATCACAGAGCCACACAGATTCATATCTGTGCAATCATATTAACAGCCCAAAGGACTGGCCACGAGCCAGCTGATAATGTGTGAACCAACAAAGATCTAGAGCAAAACACATCTGTCTGCCATCCAGTGCAAAGTAGGCCACAATATTACAGATCATTGAGACAGATTTCCATTTATATTTCAGATACCAACTCTCTTCATTGAACAACTGGGTTAAATTTGTTTTTAAAAAAAAAGTTAAAAAATAATTTGTCATTTAAACCGATACATTTTATATATAAAAGAATGTCTACTTACAAAAATAAAAAAAAGATTAAAAAAAGTTTTCCTGTTGACAAATTACTAAACAAATCTTTTAGATAGTTTTCTGAATAAAGTTGTTGATGGATTATCTTTATTAAAAAAAAAAGAAAAAGGAAAAAAGCGGCTTGGAATTTATGACTTTATTTCATAAGTTTCATGCCATGTTATCATCTAATACAGTTTTTTTCCCACATCTTTACTTATTTATGTGTTTCATGCATTGTCATCATCTAAAACTATTCTCAAGGCAAATTAAAAAAAATTCTGGACATCACAATTTTGAAATTCCATAATTGTAGAAAATTATTGAACATGAACATGATGGTGACTAGGCAACCGCATCCAATCTGACCAATTAGGGGAAAGAGTAAGTCTGAAAACAGAAAGTCAGACTTGGAAGTCAGTTTATTTCACGGTCCTGAGGCGTTATGCGGTTTGTTTGTGTGTGTGTGTGTGGATGGTCACTTACGCATAGACCTTCAGCAGGTGGTCGTCTTTAGAGTCAGCAGTGAGAAGATCAGCGATGCTGACCACAGCACAGCCGAATGGACGTCTGTACTGCACATTACACGTGTTCTTCTTCTCTCCTGCACCCATCCTCCCTACACACACACACACGAAACAATCAGCGCTCATCACACGTCTTCAGGCTCTTTGGAATCAGTAATTATTCAGTGGAGAAATATCGGCTTTTACCAATCCTAATGATGTGTACGACAATATACACGTCTTTTCTCAGGTCGCCGCTGCCCAGATCCTGAACAAAACATAAACGATAGTTAATCAACACAGATTACTCTGCATGATTACTCTGGCGGTGATTTCATCTCAACACTCACCACAAAAAGTGTGCATTGTCTTTCGGTCTTCTCTGGAAACTTGGGCAGACCGTTTTTATTGAGTTTAACAAAGAACCTTTCACTGCAAAACAAAGAGAGAGAGCGAGAGAAACACTTTCAGTTTTATACAATGGGTTTATTCTGTACAAATGCGGTTTAAAAATACAGAGCTCTCAAGCAATTGCATTTTTAAAGTCCGTGAGGACAAAATACTGCATGTGTAATTTTTGGCACAGCAGATGCAATGCTGTTAAATTCACTTTGCCTAATAAAATATTTACCAAGCAAAATCTCATACAAAACAAAAACAACAAGTGACAAAACAAACCAAAATAAAACAAAACAACAAAACAAATATTTCAGGACATTAACACAGCAATACATTTTTTGTACTGCAGTAATACTATGAGTTTTTTTATATGCACCACAGTAACACCATGTTTCTGGACGTACAAAAGTAATATGTTTTTTGGTCATGTACAAAATAAAATATCCATGCTTTTGTACATGTACCATGGTGATATCATGGTCATTTATTGGATACGTAACATGGTATTATTTTAAAACTAAAACAAAGCACAAAAAAAGTAATACCACAGTAATACCATGTTTTTACAATGCACATTTTTTTTTCAAACATAAATTGGTATTTCTAGCTGATACCATCCCTGTGCCACATGACTTTTTTGTGAGCTGCTGTATTTTTGAATATATGCATCTAGAAAATTACAGAAATGTTCATGTAAAGCATGAGCTGTCAATACAAGAGAATAACGGGACAGACACATGTGTCCTTCACCCACCAACCTCATAATCCAGATACATGACTTTCACAGCTCCATGATAAAAAAGAGGAGCGGCCCTATAAATGAATCCCAACAGGAACAATAGCTGGCAATAGAAATCCAACAAAACTTACAGATCCAATCCGCTCAGGAATATACAGACATTCATGCACGGACTTGTATTAAACCGGCCTTTCACACAAACACCATGTAATTAACTTGGAATTGTTGCGATCCCAGCGTCCCATCGGCAGAGGCAGGAGCACAAAGGCTGTTTTGGCCTTTGACATGCAGCTGCAGGGCTGCGGTGGCTTTCTGAAGAGGGGTCTGTGGACACTGGGATACTGCTATCGGCAGATATCATGCCAACATTTCCATAACACACAGACGGGCGGCTTTCTTTCACTCTCGCCCCAATATTTGATATTTCCTCCCTTGATGCTGGGGATTGAAACACGACAAGTTCAAATGGGACACCGATACGAGCCCCCCGCCTCCCGCTGGATAAATCTGGATAAATCGGCATGGCCGGAAAAGTGATCCCTGTATGTCTGGGTGGATATATTAAGCGTGCCACAAAACGGTCCTGTGGGAACAGAGGGGGAGCCGTTACCCAGAAAGCTGTCAATCAGCACTTTGTACACATCATGTGGCAAAAATGAAGTGAAACACAGATGGACTCTTTCACAAACACTTGACTTGGCCCAAGGGGCTTTTGGTGGCAGCGCTCAGACTGTCTAAAGAAAAATGAATACAAACAGCACCCTCGTCTTTTTGTAACAGCACTCGCTGTCCGTGCGCCGCTAGACGAAATGGGTATAACTGGTAACATGAGCTGCATAACACCAGGACTGGTGCTGAATCACTCCACTCAAAGAAATGCAGCAGGATCAGTACAAGTTAAAAAAAATAAATAATAATAAAATAAAATAAAAATTTAACTTAGTTTGTAAATTAGAAAACAATTTTGTTTATTTTAATAAATAATAATAATAATAGTATATAAAAATAATAGATTAATATAATACGATACAAATACACTTTATAAGAAATTATTCTTATAAATGTTAATAATAAGAAAAAGAAAATTGTATATAATAAATTCATATAATAATAGATTAATGTAATAATATGAGTTTATAATAGCTCTCTTTTGACTTTTTTTAATTGTAATAATTTAAGGAAGTTAATTTAGCAAGATGCTAAATTACAGACAAACAGAAATAAAAATGAAATAAGTCATAAATAAACAAAATAATACTAGTATGCAACAACACGGTATATCTCCAAAAAGTATCATATATTAAACCAAATACATACATAAACAAATAAATTATCTTCCTCCTCCTGCATTTCTTCTCTTAGCTTCCTTCCTAGGCTAGTTTCATCAATTCAGCAATAAATTCATTGCTTTTGTTGCTCTTTTGTAAGCTGCTTTGGATAAAAGCATCTGGTAAATGCATAAATGTAGATGTTTCTTGCATACATTCTTACATCAGTAATGTGCAGTAATGCGTGTAACAACAGCACATTAAACGCATTTAGTGTAAAATATACAAATTGGGATAGCCCTAGTGATTCCCGGGAATCTGGGCAGCAGTGTGATTGAATCCACAGGAGCTGTCAGGATGGACACTGAGCAGATTTGAAGCCGCAGGCTAGTCTGGCAGAGGCTGGGGGAGCAAAAAAAAGGGAGCCACCATTCTATATAGAAACAAAAAAGAAGAAGAATTAACTGGAAACCAGCCAATTCTAACCAGGTAGGGAAATCAGAGCCACATTAATACTCTCCTTTAAGACTACAGACAGGGACTGAGGGGAAAAAATCTCCAATCAATGAACAGTGGGAAAACATTGAGACAATGTGAGCAAACGCCAGCGAGCAGCTGCTGAGACGGTTACAGTCTGTAATTAACCATTAGAGGAGATAAACAGGTACACACACACACACACAGAAGAAAAACCATCTGAATGCTCTCACAGCCTCCACTGCAGGTGTGTTTCCCTGATGAAAACTGTTTATTTGTTTTTCATCTGTCTGCCAGTGGCCAGGAACAAACACAGGATGAAGTTCATGTAATGAGGTTATGATTGAAGAGCACATCCTGGATACAAATAGGATATTTTACCACAAAAGGACTTTTATTATAACATTGCTATCAAAGCTTGTTTAGGCCACAGGATTAAAAAACAAAACAAAAACTGTAACGCCGACTTCTTATCTCACAATTCAGACATTTTTTTTTTTGCAATTCTGAGTTTATAGAATTCAGAATTGTGAGATATAAATGCAGAAAACCGCAACTGCGAGAGAAAAAAGTCAGAATTGTGTCTCAATTACCTTTTTATTTCTTTATTATGTGGTGGAAACAGGCTTTCATTAGAAAATGGAAATGTTTCCAAACATCAAATCAGCATATTAGAATTTCACAATATTACTACTTTTACTGTATTTTTGATCAAATAAATGCAGCCTTTATGAGCAGAAGAATCGTCTTTCAAAAACATTTTAAAAATCTTACCGACCCCAAACATTTGAATGGTAGTGTACCAGTGTAAATCTACATTTATAATACATTTACAGGTGCATCTCAATAAATTAGAATGTCGTGGAAAAGTTGGTGGGTTTTTGTTAAATGTGAGCCAAAATCATCACAATTAAAAGAACCAAAGACTTAAACTACTTCAGTCTGTGTGCATTGAATTTATTTAATACACGAGTTTCACAATTTGAGTTGAATTACTGAAATAAATGAACTTTTCCACGACATTCTAATTTATTGAGATGCACCTGTATAACCATGTATAAATGATTGGTTAGACCCTCACCTGAGCGGTTTGTTCTCTCGACTATCATAGATGAAGAAGAAGACCTCCAGGTCTTCACCCAGGTTTGAGCTCATCAGACTCTTCAAATGGACAAACAGGTGATGTGTGCTGACAGGAGTCGGAGTTTCCTTCTTCCGTTGCCGATTCTCCATCTATCCATCCAAACACATAAAGGTGATTACATGTGATGCATCCATTTTTTCAATAAAGCAAGACATAAAAGTGACCCAGTAACACAATGCACATGAAGACTTTGCATTGTGATTTTCTTTTTTAACACCAAGAAAAGCAGGAAAAGCTGTGCATAATATCCTCAGAAATGCATTGAATATTCCACTGAATTCCAGCACCTCCATGTTCACACCATGACTCCTTTACAGCCAGCCAAATCTAATTTGTTTCAGTTAATATGCTCCTTTCTTTGCAATGACACCACAGAGTGCAATGTCAAATGCACACACACACCCTCACATGCATTGCATATCACTGCACACAGGCTTATTTTAAGTGCACATTCACACCGTTTTTGTGTAACAAACACACTTCTCACATGGGAGCATCAGTTATTGGACCGTGTGAGTCGTTGAACCGCACCGCATTCTGATTGCACATCTCTGTGTGAGGACACTGAGATCTGAACAGGCGTGATGTGAAATATAAAAAGACCAACAGGAAGTACATGTGCTCTATCTGTGTGTATGCATGAGGAGGAGAGAGACAAACACTAATGAACACACTTTAATTGAAAAAGTTGTTCTAATACTAACCAATTAAATTAAAACAATGACAAGTAGCCTGTAAGTATTTCTGACTTAATTAGCACTGGAAGTTTTGCAAGCAATTATTCAAGTAAATCGACAGTCATTAGTATTAATGTGTCCCAAGTTATGTTAAAAAGAGTACATCGGTGGTGTGCTGATAAGAATTTATTTTTGTTCTAATATTACACACAATCCCCTGCAAAACAGAAAATGAGGAGAATGCAATGAAAAGTTTGCAATTATAAAAAAAGCTACATTAATAGTTTTTAAATGCATGAACATAATAATGCAATAAATAATAAATAATAATGTATTTTAAGGTAATGCGTTTAATAAGATGCTAAGACTTATAAAATAATTACGATATGCAAAAAGTTAAATAATTAAATTGCATCCAAAATAAAATAAATGCAAGAACATAAAAACGTAATAATGTAATGTAATAAATAATAAATAATAATTTATTTTAAAGTAATGCATTTAATGAGATGCTAACACATGTAAAATAATTATGGTATGTAAAAGGGTAAATAATTAATTGCATCTAAAACAAATTTAAAAAAAAATAATAATAAAATAAAATTCTACTTTATGTAAATGTCAAACCATTTTTATTCATGCAACTGTTATAATTATGAAATAATTATTTTAAATAATAATAATAATAGTACTGTAATAGTATTATACTTTATACAACTGATATAATTATGAAAAAAATATTTAAATAATATTAAGTTGTATGAATAAAAACAAAGGTATTGAAGTATCATAATAACAGAAGTAAAAATTAATCAAAGAGAGCAGTAGTTCCTCCTTCACGAGAAATGACATTAACAGAAGCTCAAATAACAGAGTTTTAATGGGAATGAATAGGCTAAAAAGATAAAGCACTGGAATTTCAATAAGGACTTTATTCCCTGTTTGGCAGGCCAGAAGGTTCTGGACTCTAATGCCGAGTTCACACTGCATGATATTAGCCCGATTTTTCACTCGCCGACAGGTTTTGCGAAATCGCCGACAAATGCCAGACATCGGAGGCAAATCGGTGCTCGTTCACGCGAGTGACAATCACGCAGTGTGAATTATCAAA